AGAGTGCTTTGTGGATCAGGAAACTCGATGTCACTAAGGTGTCACTGTCCCCAGAGCGCTCGTTCCTTCCTCAGAGTCTCAGCTTAATATTGTGTAGAGACAAGCTTGTTCGTAAACGTCCACATCAAGACAAAGGAACCAGAACAGCCAACACCACGCTGAAGGATGTGGGCTCTCACCACACAGAGGCCGGGTTACCTCGGAGCTGCAGGAAGTGCAGCCGGGGGGCGGGGCGGCAAGAGGCCAGCCAAACCGGTCACGGGACAGACGGTCCCGAGACCAACTCACAGGTGGTCACCCGGTCACGGTGCCAAGTCTCACCATGTAGAGACCCGGCTCAGTCCAGTAAACGTTCCCCAGGCTCTTCCTGGACAGACAGGCCGAGTCTATATGATTCACACAGAAGCCAGAGCAACTGGAGTGACCCAGACAATTCTGGGCAAGACCAGAGTCGGAGGCCTCGCCACTTGAGTCCACTGCCCCCACCCCGAGGCCACGGCAGGCGAGACAGCGTTGCACTGGTGGCTGGACAGATGAGCGTCAACAGAACCGAAGGAGCTCACAGACAGACCCCACAGACACGGTCAATTGATTCTCCACAGAGATACTGATCTGGGGGCCTTGCGTTAAACTGGACATCCACGTGCGTAAAGAAGTAACCTGGACCAGACCCCATGCCCCGCAGGGGAGGTCACTCAGAGCAGATCACAGATCCAGCGTAAAGTGGAAAACGCTGAAACTTCCAGAAGGGTCTCTGTGGCTTTGGATTAGGCAATCCTTTCTTACACATGACACCAAAGCCCAGCCCATAAAGACAAAGTGACAAATGGCAGTTCATCAAAGTTCACAGTGTCTCCTCTGTGATACACAAGGTTAGGAGAAGGAAGAGATACACCACAAACCGCTAGGAAACACAAGTCCCCCCCTCTCTCCTGGAGGACTTGTATCCAGAAGGTGAACCCCTGAGACTCGATCAGAAGGAAACAAGTAACCCACGATGGGGAACAGAAGACACAGCCGTTCACCAGAAAAGGGCAACAAGGACACGAACAGCTAAAGCCGGGGTGCAATCCTGCTGCACACGTCCGAGTGACTACAATTTAAAACACAGGCCAACCGTAACCACGGCAGAGCCGGCGAGGCTGTGCAGCCGCGGGAATGCACGCCCGACGCTGGCGGGGACGCAAAGTGGCGCAGCCACGTGGGAAGATGGGTGAGCGGCTCGTGGAGGTAAAGGTGCGTCTGTCTACCAGGTGACCCAGAACCCCCCGCCCAGGTTCTGACCCAGGAGACGAGCGCTTACAGCCCCACAAATCCAGCTCGCACAGCTCGACACCAGGGCCGGCCACACGTGCCCAGGCCCGAAGCAACGGACACCAGCAAGCCAACGTCCATCGCTGGTGAGGACGCGGCCAGGTGTGAAGGGGCCCAGCTCCTGACGCACCCAGGGACCCGCGGGGCTCTCGGAGGCCTCGTGCTGAGAGCAAAGGCGGGCATGCAGGGGCTGTGGGGTTCCACCTCTGTGACCTTCTGGAGAAGGCCCAACACCTGGACCAAAGACAGGGCCTGAGGGTGGGTGGGATCTGGGGTGACGGGCGTGCTCACCCTCCTGCCCACTCAGAACCCCCTCGGGGTGGTTCCCTGGGCAGGCAGCGCTGCTGTCAGCAAACTGAAACCCCCCCCCCCCCCAAAAGGGGGGGGGGGCCCCCCGGCCCCCCCCCCCTCAGAGGCGGAGGGTGACCCTCAGGCCCCGGGCTCCACTGCCACCCCGTGCACCACACGAGCAGCAGCCGTGCCAACCCCGGCCCCGGTGCTGAGCAGCCCCGTCAGGGGAAGAGGCAGGTTGGGAGGCTCTGGGCGGGACTGGGCGGGGGTCCGAGCCCGCCCGGGACCCAGGCATGAACACTGGACCCCGACACTCCGCTACCGCAAGGCTGCTTGCAAGCCTGAGGACCAAGGCCCTGGGGGAGACGCCCAGTCCCCAGCCCCGCCCCCCTCAGCTGTCCACACCCATCAGCCACGGGGGAGGAGGGGCGTCGTCGGAAGACGTGCCCACCGAGCTACAGCCACGCTCCCTGACGGGAGACTCCACGAGGCGCTGCCGTGCGGCTGCCCCGTCCGCCCCTCCGCAGGGGTGGGGTCTGCGCCCCTCCAGCCGCCTGTTGGTCCCACCCCCCAGAGGGCGGAGGGAGCTCGGGAGACGGAACCCTGGGAGAGCCCGTGGGAGGGGCTGCTTCAGCAGCAAGCCCTCCGGGGTCAGGGTGGCGTGAGGCCGGGCGGTGGGGAGTGGGGCCAGGGGCTGAGGGCCCTGCCTTCGTGGGGGAAAGCGGCAGGTGGAGCGGGGAAGGCGTCTCTTGCCTGCGGCCTCAGGCCTCGGGCCGTGACACGGGGCGAGTGTCCCCGCACCCCCCAGCGGGCCGTGCCCACGTCCCGGGCCCCCGTGCCCGCCGCACCCTTACCCGTCCTCCCAGGGCTCCCCCATGGCTTCCTCGGCCACCAGGATGTCGTACTCCTCGGCAGCGTACCTCTCCCAGTCGGACAGCTCGGGGCCCTCGCTCTCGCTCTCCTGCGGGAAGCACGCGCGTCGTGTCACGCGGGGCGGGGGCCCAGAGGTGCCGCCTGCGCCCCCTCCGCGCCCCCCACTCACCCTGAACAGGGCGGTCTGCTCCCGCTGCTCGTGGTCCAGGTACTTCCCGATATTGAAGAACGTGTCGAAGAAGACGCCGGCCAGCCGGCACCGCTTCAGGTCGCGCAGCGTGATCCTCCCTGCGGCCCAGGGCGGCACGTGAGCACACGGGCTCCCACGCACGCCCAGGCGCCACGTCCCTCTGCGCGCACGCGCCGACACACCTTAGGACACGGCACCCCCTGCCGCGAACCAGGCCAGGCCAGGGGTGTGGGCAGAAGCCCGGGGGTGGGAGGGGTCGGGAGACAGGGCCCAAGGCAGCGAGGGCCGCCCGCCAGTCACCTGAGGGCGGGACCCAAGCTGCCCTGGACCCGCGGACACGGGGCAGGAACCCACAGCCGGGGCAGGAAGGCCCAGGCCACCATGGCCCCCAGTGACGACACCTGAGACCAGGTGTCGGACGCACGACGCTGACTAAGGCGGGTGGGTTCGGGCAGACCCTCCCTTTGACCCTGGAAGGTGTCCTGAGCGCCCCCGGACAGATGCACCTGGTGGGCTCCCGGCTCCCACACCCACCAAACACACCCCGGGGGCCCCAGCACAGGGCCGGACGAGGGGGACCTGAGGGCGAGGGGCCCTCTGAAGTGCCCACTCCAGGGGTCCCGGGCTTGGTCTCCCCACGTGGGCGCTGAAGGAGCACAGGCCCAGGGCCACGGGGTTGGGGGACCACCTTCCCAACCCCCAAGGACCCACTCCCCCTGGGGTGTCCTTGTGTCACTGGGGGACCCCGCCGCCCAGCATCACCTTCGCTCTGGGGCTTCACCAGGTCCAGCATCTGGCACAGGCAGTCCTCAAAGGGCAGGGCCTCAATGGCCATGCTGTCCAGCCGGCGGCACTGCTCCTCATAGAAGTACTCCAGCTCGAACATGGACAGCACCCCGTCCCCATCCAGGTCCATGCAGCGGAACCAATACTCAATGCTGTGACACCGGGCCACGGTCAGCATGGCCGCCCAGGACGGACCCCACCACCCGGGGATGCCTCCCCTAGTGTGAGCCCCGCCTGGGACAGGCGCCACCACCCGGACACCCCTCCCCCAGTGCGAGCCCCGCGTGGGACAGACGCCACCACCCGGACACCCCCCCGCCCCCAGTGCGAGCCCCGCTTGTGTCTGACCTTGCCCAGGTGGATCACAGAGCGGGGGCGCCCTCGCTCAGGGGTGACCAGTAGCCCCTGCTTCTAAGTGTTCTAGCAAGTGGAGCAGAGGACAGCTGCCAGACACTCACCTGGTCGGGGTTTTCTTGTCTTCCTCGGAGATCAAGAACCAGACAAAGTCAGCGTAGCTTATTTTTCCTTCTTTCTGCACTTTTTTCCCTCTGGATTCAGGGCCGAATCGAGAGACAAAGACTGGGTCAGGGAGAAGCAGCCTGAGGCGGCGTCCCCGCCCACCTCCCCCGGGGCGTGGGGAACCCTGCGTCTGGCCCAGTCCTGTACCCTTGGTTCCTACTCAGGACAAGGCCTGAGAGAGACCATGTGACCCAGAGGAGGGTCCCTGGGGCCCAGCTCCAGCAGGAGCAGCCGCCGTGGTCACAGCCTCAGGTGCAGGGGCCTGTGTCCCCCGACTCACGACCTCATGGCAAAGGCGTGTATGTGTCCCAACCTACGACCCCGTGTGACAATGGCGTGCCCCTTACACGTGACCTCATGTGGGTGGCATGTGTCCCTGACTCGTGACCTCGTGTGACAAAGGTGTGTACGCGTGTCCCTAACCCACGACCTGATGTGACGATGGCATGCACTCCCAGAGCACGGCCACCTCACATCAGGAGCGAATGAGTCAGGCGCGGACGCGCGTGCGGAACGTCAGCCCAAACGCTGACGAGACCAGCTAGCTGAGCGGCGGACGCACCGCGTCACGGCTCCCGAGAAGATCCTCTCGATCATCTTGGTGGATATGGCTGCAAAAGAGGAAGCAGGCCGTGAGCCCCCGCACGCTGCTCCCGGCCCAACGTCGCAGCCTTGCAGGCGGCTGGGCGGGCTCAGGTCTGAAGGCCGAGACCCAAGCCCAGTCAGGCAGAACCCTCGGGACCCAATCTCCTGCTCTCTGCCTCCCTCGGGCGCTGCCCGACGTGTTCCAGTCCAGGACCTGAGCCCAGAGCAAAGCGAGAGTGAAGAGCTGGCCCAGGGGCCCCAAGACAGAGCGGGCGGTAAAGGCAGCACACACACGTCCGCCCTTTCAGAGGCTCTGCCTCCAAACACTCAGTTTGCTGTGATCAGCACACAAATGCATCCAACCCCCAGGCAACTAAGAGGATAAAAGAGTGAAAGACACCAAATTAGTCGGCTCGGGCGGCTTCAACAGCACACGTTATTTCTCCCCCAGTCCCGGAGGCTGGAGTCTGAGATCCAAGGGTCAGCAGGGCTGGTCCCTCCCGAGGCGTCTCTCCTGCGCGTGTAGACGGCCGTCTCCGCCCTGTGTCCTCACGGGGTCGCCCCTCTGTGTGTGTCTGGGTCCTGATCTCCTCTTCTTATAAGGACACCAGTGCTACGGGATCAGGGTCCACCCTAGTGACCTCATTGTACCTTCGTCCCCTCTTTAAAGACCCCATGTCCAAATCCAGTCACATCCTGAGGTCCTGGGGGTCAAGGCTTCATCGTGTAAATTTTGGGGACACTTTTCAGCCCATACCCAAGACCTATAACCACAAAAATGGAGAAATAAAGACAAAGTGTCTTTTCCCCCAAGTCATCCTGCCTCAATGAAAGTCACCTCTAATGGGAAATGACTGGATGGTGTCAGAGGCTGAACAGTGTTTCTCAGAAAGACATGTCCACGTCCTCACTCCTGGGCTGTGAACGGGACCTTATATGGAAACAGGGTCTCTGCAGATGTGACGCAGTGAAGGGTCTGAGATGAGGTCCTCCTGGATGAGGGTGGCCCTACATCCAATGACAGGGTCCTTCTAAGACACAGGAGAGGAGAGACACAGACACAGAGGAGAAGCCCCGTGAAGACGGAGGCAGAGACGGGAGGGATGCAGCCACGAGCCCAGGGATGCCTGGAGCCCCCAGAAGCTGGAAGAGGCAGGAAGGACCCTCCCCTGGAGCCTCTGGAGGGAGCTCAGCCCTGGGACACCCTGACCTAAGACGTCTGGTCCCCAGGGCTGGGGGAGGATGGATTTTAAGCCACTGATTTGCAGTCATCCGATACAGCCGCCTCAGGAAGCCCCTCCTGGATGACAGTCCTTCATAAATGCGTTGATTTTGGACCTCTGGCCTCAGAACTGGAAGGATAATTTCCTGTTCTTTGAGGGTCCGCCCCCCGACCCCCGCCCGCCATGACAACAGCCCCAGGGAACTGGACAGCTGACTCAGACTCACTGCCACAACTGGCAATCTGAGAACAGAACCTGCTCGTCCGTGGGACACGGGACAGGTCAGCTCTGCCCCTCTGCCTGTTCCTTCCCATGACGTAAGGAGGAGCCCTGCTGCCTCTCGTGTAGGACCTGGCAGGTTAGGAAGTGGCAGATGGAAGGGGAGGGACGCATTACGGCGCTCACGTCCACAGCTGGGGGGCTGTGCCCGAAGCCACCCAGTGTCCTGTGCTGGCCGCAAGACCACGGTCCCCACAGTCAGTCGTGTCTCAAGGCCACAACGCCACCAGTCCTGCCTGGTGACAAAGCCCCAACACCGGCCCCACGAGATGCCCTGACGTGAGACCTCGACAGGGTGGACACAGGGACACAGGGATGCGGGCACCAGGAGAGAGTCGTGGGGACAGGCGGGGACAGGTGACCCACGATCTGGGGAACCACGTGCCAGCCACCACGGGTCTGCGCCTGGAGCTATTCCCGAGATCACAGAGGGCGTTGGAGTTGACACCAGGCGTCAAATTTAGGGACGGAGTTGAGAGAGACCCAAGTCCCCTCAGGCGTCCACAGGCCAGCGTTCACGGCACCCTGGCGAGGCCAGTCCGAGAGATTCAGCAAGCAGATGGTGCCCTGGGGAGCTCACGTCAGGGGAACGTCCGGGTCCCGTTGACCAAAGACAAAACATACGCCCGGAGGATTCAGAAATTCGGTCGTGCGTGTGGGTACGTGAAAAATCCGTTACGTGAAAACGTGCAGTCTTAAGAAAACTGTTTCTAAAACTAAGAACCCACGGCGCACTTAAATTCTGGTCCACTCTGCGCCCTGAACGTGTGATTTCTTGTCATGGGAGGTGGGAGATGATCATTTTCTCTTATCACAGAAGTGTTTACACTGGATCCCCCCCGCTGCTCCTGAGCTGAGCGGAAGTCATAGTTCACCTTCTCAGGCCTCTGTGCGACGAGAACGCACGGAAACTCAGCCAAACCCAGAAGCCAGAAGTGAAACCTCTCAGGGAACCGCGTCTCTGCTCTGCTGTTCCCTCCCCTCAGGACGATGCCTGGGGCCGCCGCTGCCGTCCAACCTGCCGCGGCACGAGTGGCCCCAAGCTGGAATTTGGCCTTGGGACGGTGCCCCGAGCCGCCTACGCAGACAGGGCACCGTCCACTCCGCGGACGGGCCGCTCGAGGCCCCGACACAGAGCACGAAGCCGCGGGAGGAGGGACGGAGGGGAACGCTGCCCCACCTGCAGAACAGCTGTTTGCTCAGCTATGGGAACAGGTGCTGGGAGCTCAGGGCGGCACCCAGACTGGCCCACACTGGGGCTCATCAGGAGACCTGGCGTGAAATGACGGGTTGGGTGGCCCCCAAATACCTGAGGACAAATGGAGGGGAGGTGGGGCGGAGAGAGCGGGAGGATGGACGGATGCAGCCTGTGTGTGGCAGCCGCTACCTCTGCCCAGGACGGGGCTCCACGCCCCCCAGAGAGCGCCTCCACCAACGGCAGGACCTGTGCGTCCCGGTCCCCGCAGGTCCTGTGCCGTGTCCTGTGCCCGCCCCGTTCCCCATGCGTCCTGTGCTGTGTCCCATGTCTGTCCCGGTCCCCGTGTGTCCCGTGCTGTGTCCCGTGTCTGTCCCGTTCCCATGCGTCCCACGCTGTGTCCGGTGTCTGTCCCGGTCCCCAGGATCCTGTGCCATGTCCCGTGTCCACCCCGGTCTCCATGCGTCCTGTGCCGTGTCCCATGTCTGCCCCGGTCCCCACGCGTCCTGTGCCGTGTCCCGTGTCTGCCCCATTCCCCACGTGTCCTGAACCGTGTCCCGTGTCCGCCCTGGTCCCCAGGGTCCTATACTGTGTCCCGTGTCTGCTCTGGTCCCCATGTGTCCTGTACTGTGTCCCGTGTCCACCCCGGTCCCCAGGGCCCTGTACCGTGTCCCGTGTCCAGCCTGGTCCTCACGCGTCCTGTGCCATGTCCCGTGTCTGCCCCGTTCCCCATGTGTCCTGTGCTGTGTCCCGTGTCCGCCCCAGTCCCCATGTGTCTGTGCCGTGTCCCGTGTCTGTCCCGGTCCCCGTGGGTCCTGTGCCGTGTCCTGTGTCCGTCCTGGTCCCCGTGGGTCCTGTGCGTCCTGTGCCGTGTCCCGTGTCTGCCCCGGTCCCCATGCATCCTGTGCCGTGTCCGGTGTCTGTACCGGTCCCCGTGCGTCCTGTGCCGTGTTCCGTGTCCGCCCCGGTCCCCAGGGTCCTGTGCCGTGTCCCGTGTCCGTCCCGGTCCCCACGCGTCCTGTGCCCTGTCCTGTGTCTGCCCCATTCCCCACGCATCCTGTACTGTGTCCCGTGTCCGCCCCGGTCCCCATGCGCCCTGTGCCGTGTCCCGTGTCCGCCCTGGTCCCCAGGGTCCCGTGCTGTGTCCCAGTCTCCCGTGTGTCCTGTAGGAGGAGACCAGAGGCAGGACAAGGTTCAGGCCTCGAGGGTCAGGGGAGGCAGCCACGCTGGTCTCCCTGGAGATGCAGGAGCCCGGCAGGGCAGCGCCTGCCCCAGTGCTGTCTCCCCGCCGCCCGCAGGCCGCGTCCTCACCGTGGTCATTGTGTCGGGCCAGGTCCTGCGCATCAATGAGCAGGTCGTGGTCCGTGTCCAGCTCCCAGAACTTGCAGTAGATGACGTAGAAGTGCTCGTAGGAGAAGAACTCCGTCAGCTGGTTGATGTCCACCTCGTCTTCCAGGAGCGCCACATTCTGCCAGGACACACCCAGAAACCCGCTGCCAGGCACCTCCGGCTGCAGCGTGGAGACAGGCCTCCCGCAGGAGGGACATCCCCCCAGGAGTCTCACGTCGGGAGGGCGGAGGGTCAGAGCTGGTGGAGACCTGCTTGAGGGCTGGGAGCCCAGCATCCAGGTTGGGGTGCACCCAGTCAAGGCCGCGAGACTGCAGCACGAAGCAGCCCAAGCACGTACGCTCTCGTGGCCGGGGGCTCCTGACGCGAGCGGGTCGGCCCCGCCCTTGTTGACACACACACGTCCACAGAACCCGGGTGCACCGGGGCAGGGCCGTGCCTCCGGGATGGACGAGGGGAAAGGAAGGGCACAAGACGAACAGAAGAAAAAGGGTGGGTGGGTGGATAAGTGAAAGGCAGGAAAATGAATGGATGGTGGACGAGTCGGGGGATGAGGGACGGATGACGGGTGGGTGGGGTGATGATGACAGGTGGGCAGATGGATGGGGTGACCGCTGAGAAGCTGGGCGCTGGATGGAGGGATGGAGGGAGGGAGGAGGGGGTGGGCAGATGAATGACCTAGGAGCTGGTGTGGCGACGGGTTATTGGTGGGGGGTGGAGGGATGAACGACGAGAGCGTGGGTAGACGAAGTGGATGGTGGGTGGGGGATGGATGCAGGAACAGGTGATAGGTTGCTGGAGGAATGGGTAACAGCCGGGTAGACGGACAAGAAGGTGGACGACGGGTGGGTGGACTGGGTGGGAGAAACAGGTGATGCCGTCAGTCGATAGAGGGACGGGTGACAGGCTGGTGGGTGCAGGGAGAGACGACGGGTGGGCGGAGGGGTGGGTGGACCGACGGACGACATGTACGTGGGTAAAGATGCACTGCTGCCGTGCGGGTGGAGAAGTGGATGACGCCGGGGGAAGGGAGGCAGGGAGGCGGGGTGGGGTGACGAGGACGGCTGGGTAGACACGTGCGCTGACCACTGACAGGCTGGCGGAGGGATGGGGCATCGATGCGGGCCGGGTGCGGGGATGGGTGGACGGGTCCTGGTGGAACCTGGGGAGGACGGGTGAGTGGGCAGGGCACGCAGAAGGCCCTGTGTTCCCTCGGCCAGCGCCACCCACCTGCAGGAACGTGCTCCTCCGGAGCTCTGCGCACGTGATCCTCCCGGACCAGGACCTGTTGACCGTGTAGAAAATCCTCTGTGTGACCTGCAGGAGGGGGAGGGGCGTCGGCTGAGCACCAGGACGCGGGGGGGCCCCCCTGGAGGAGGAGGCGGTGTCGGCTGAGCACCGGGACGCGGGGGGCCCCCCTGTAGGAGGGGGAGGGCGTAGGCTGAGCACCGGGACGTGGGGGGCTGGGGGCCCCGCACGTGACTGTGCAGCACCCCCACGTGCGCTGCTGCAGGAACCCAGCCTGGGACCTCGCCTGCGAGCTCCTGCCTGGCCTCACCAGGAGCTCCGCACCCTGGGCCGCAGGGCCCCGTGTCACCAGCAGAGGGCGACCGCCCCGCATGTCACCAGACAGAGGAGGGGGGGTGGGGGGGGGTGGGAAGCATCCCCGCCTCCAGCTGCAGGGAGGACACAGGTGGCAGGAGAAGCGGACCTGCTGCCACATGTGGGGGGATGTCCCGGTGAGACAGCCACACCTGAGCTGGGACGGCGCGGGCACGCAGTTCCTGCGTGGCTGGGAGCCCTCCTTACACTGCGGGTGGTTTGAGAGACTGCCCCCAATGCTTCCGCGGACACTCAACTGACCACCGAATGAAAAACGTTAACTTAAAGCCAGAGAGTGGCCCCTGCCCCCGGCACAGTGAGGCCCACCTTGGCCATGGGGCTCAGCTGCGCTCCCAGGTGGGCATGTCCCCAACTGTGATACCCCTCACCTGTCCCGGGGCATCTGCTCACCTGTCCTCATCTGAGACGTCCCCTCGCCTGTCCCTGTCATGGGCTGTCCCCTCACCTGCCCTCCCGGGGCATCCCCGCCAACCTGTCCTCGTCCGAGACATCCCCTTCCCCCGTCCCTGCTGGAGGCTGTCCCCTCCCCGCGGATGTGCCCTGCCTTGTCCTGTCTGCGCAGGGAGGTCGGGCCATGGGAACGGAGCACCTGGTGCACAGCCCCATTCACACGCAGCGCTCCCTGCCACAGCTGGAATGAGGCACGGCTCTGGGCACCGCTCCTTGGCGACGGGCCCTCAGGGCGGCACGGAGCGGTGACAGGGCGGAGGGAGGCCTGGGGAACCGCGGGCACGCAGACTGCCACGAGCGTCTGCTCCGCGCCACGCGACAAGTGTGCCCCCGGCCGGCGGGCCACGGGGCCGCCGCGCCGCAGACCTCCACCTAGAGCCGGAGGGCCATCCTCCCGGGTGACCTCTGACCAGGGCGGGGGCGGAGGATGGGCCATGGGGTCCTCGTGTCCCCAGGCCAGGCCGGCATCCCACCTGCAGCGCTCAGAGCGCCGCGCTCCAACTTGCTGGGCGTGCTCGCCTGGACCCCAGTAGACCCGGTCCTCAGGAGGCGGGGCCGGGCATCCTCTGAGGCCCCTCCTGCCCAGAGAGGGAGACCGCTGGGTCTCTGGGCGTCCCCTCGCCTGCCCCGCCCTGTCCGACCCCGGGGCACGCGGCCAGGACCACCCAGGCTCTCTCCGAGCGCGCCCAGCTGGGGACCCAGGTGGGACACACAGCCCTCCCCGCGCCCGAGCCCCACGCCCGCCTCCTGGTGAGAAAGCAGGCCGTGAAGGGCCCCGGGTCCAGGGCTGGGTGTCCGTTCCCTCGCAGGGGGCCTGGAGCCCGGGCCTCAGGCGCCCACGGAAGCCACAGGGGCAGCGACGTGCTGGTACTCACCGTGGTGATGTAGCGGGAGTGGAACTCTGACGCTTCCTTCAAGAATGCCAAGCCCGGGTGGGTGTTCACCACGTCCTGCACACGGGGGACGGGACATGGCCCTGGGATGCGCCGCCAGGCCCAGGGATAAGAACGCACGTGCCCACCAGCAACACCCAGGTTCACACATCCAGCCACAGAGCCGCTAACGCAGCGTCACCCCAAACACACGGTTACGCGAAATCACATCCAATTAAAGGATCACACAGAATCATCTGGGCCACAAGCTAAGGAAGCATGCCACCTCTCGCGGCCGAGGGTACTAATCTGACACGTGTAAATGTATAAAAGACCACTGTGGAAGTTCATCCCAGATTCTGAGAAAGAAAATTTGCGATATCCTCACTTAACAGAGCACTGCAGTCCCGGGAGCCCTTTAAGTCACTTCTATTCAAATAGTTTTGGTAACTTCGGTTACTCCGTGTTCATGGGGAACACGCAGGTAACCGGGGACCACCTTCAATTCCCCTCTACAAGATGTAACACAGAGCGCTAAATGAAACCGTGTTTACATGAACCAGAACGGCGTTTGGAAACGAGCGTTCTGCAAACCGCAACCGGCTTCTCGTGGGCGGCCCAGCGCCCCGAAGGTGCTAACCCCTGTCCGGCTCCATGCTCTGCAGGTTCAGGTGTGGAGCTGTCCACACCGTCCTGCCTCTCACACGGGTTTGGAGGGGCTGCATGGAGCCAGCTTCGGAGGAGCCCGCCCGCCTGCCCCCCGGGGTGTAGACACTGGGGTGCGCCTGTGAGGAGGGGGCGAGGGCGTGTGCGGCGGGGAGGCGGGGACGCACCTGCAAGAAGGGGATGAAGTCCTCCTGCGCCAGGGAGTTGCCGCCGGGGCTCACGAGCAGGTGGACAAACTTGGCCGCGTCATCGTGACAGCTCTGGAGCATCCTGGGCGACAGAGGGCACCCCAGCTGCACCTCACGCGCGGCCACAGGCCCCTACCCAGACTCCGGGGTCGGATGCTCCGTGAGGACGGGCACAGACGGATGGGGCCCCGCAAGGGACACGACGGCCATGCTGGGCACCCCCGGACATCCGTCTCAGTCCCTTACTGTCCCGGCCGCAGGAGCGCCGGCCAGTGGAGGCAGAGGCACGGCTGGGCCACCACTCCCGCCCCGGGACTCACTTTCTCCACATGGCGACAAACTTGTGCACGGAGACGGAGCCCGTGCGCTCTCCACCGGCGCCGCAGAAGAGCGGCCCCTTCCAGTAGAGCGGGCAGCCACAGGCCTAGGGGGGGAAGGGTGGGGGATGACACAGGGTTAGCGCGCCCTGGGCCCCCGGCTGCCCGAGCCCCCGAGGCGGCCGGGAGCGCACCGCGTGCAGACAGCCCGACCACGCAGCCCAGCGCCTGCGCCAGCCCCAGGGGCCTCCAGGGGGAGGGGCAGCCTCTCCCAGCCGACACTCCGGAGATGCTGACGGAAACGGCGCTCCCGAGCCCGGGGCACAGACCACCCGCCCCAACTGGAGGCGGCACGTCGGCAGCTGTACAGAGGCGACGAGCACGTCCCCAGCCCTGGACGTGCAGCACCTCCGATGACGCGTCGGGACGGCGTAAACGACAGAGAAGGTCAGGAGACACTCGGGGTGCGACAAGGACGAGGCTGTAACCCGGGCACATCTCAGGGGTCGAGGCGACCGCAGGGCTGGCGTCCACAGCTGTCAGCGCAGGTGCTGACCGGGAAGCAGGCCGAAAACCCACGCTCTGAGCTTCCCTCCCGAAAACGCAGACGAAGAACGGCGGAAACAACAAAGGCTGAGAGAAGAGAAAAAGCAGATCCGCGACAGAGAAAGTCAACAAGGCCAAGTCAGCTCTTCAGAAAGCTTTTAAGCAAGTAATCACCCCTCAGCAACACTCTTGGAGAAGCAGAAAAATGAAACGCGCGCTCCGCACGTCAGCGGTCACTGCAGAGCCCACCAGCGCTTGACAGACAGGCAGTGGACACTCCCAACAACTGGAGGCCAGGAAACGTGACGACTGCAGGGCGGACTCCTTGACTAACGAACGTGTCTAACCAGAACTGACAACGGACATCCAGACGGTTCTACATTTCAAGAGCCCGAACCTGTGGCTTCAAACCTTCCCACTAAGAAAATCCCAGGCCCAGCTTTAGGGAAGAAATCACGTGGATGGTACCCACACTCTTCCAGAGAATGGAAACGAGGGACGTCTCCCGGCTCCTGTTACGAGGCTGCACGTCCTGGACCCTGACACCTGTGAAGGGAGACCAGGCGCCCTCAGCTCCCAGGAACAGAGATGCCAACATCCCACACAAATCCAGGCCGGCAAATCGAATCCAGCAGTAAAAAAAAAGAAAAATCACAGTGAAACAAACAACAGGCCAGGAAACTTAAGAACAGGAGGGAACACAGCACTGTAATCAGCGGCGTACACAGGAGCCCACGGCTCACATCTGCACATGGGGACGCACGCAGGCCGGCTCTGCCCTGAGCTGGAACGGGACAGGCTCCACCAGCAGAGATGGAGGAGGGGACGCTCCGGGCAGAGACAAAGGGGAAACTCTGGTAATGCAAAAATACGCGACGGTAGGGAGAATTCCGACAGGGTTACGAAATACCAGAATTACTAAGTCCCCTACACACGAAACGAGTTCCATTCCGAGAGCACGTTCTGAAGTCCAGTCTGTCCGTAAGTCCAACAAAGTCAGCCTAGGTACCCAACTAACACAATCGGCTGCATAGTACTATACTATAACAGGTTTCTAATACTTTCCATGCAAATGATACATAAAAAATAAACACAAAAGATGAAGAAAACATTTTTACAGTCCCTTGAAAAGTACAGTAGTCCAGTACAACAGCTGGCACACAGGGGCTGGCATCGAGGGAACAGGCAAGAAGAGTTACTGCCTGGAGGAGGGAGAGGAGGTGGGAGATGGTAGAGCTGGAGGGTCGTCAGCAATACGAGGCAGAGGGCAAGCTCCAACATCACTCTCACTCGTGCCTGACACTGACGGTAAGCACGTTTGCATCTCTAAAAGTTCGCAACTTGAAGGGGTGTACGTAGGGGACTTACTTGTAACAGAAAACCAGAAAAGCTGCGGGATCCCAGGACAATGTACAAAAATCAATTATATTTCCACACACTGGCAACAAGCAATTAGAAAATAAAAAATGTAACTGCCGTTTATGAAAAGTATAAAAAACATCAACCTACAGGTAAACGTAACTCAAAGTGCGAGATCTCTACAAAAGGAATGAGAAAGCGTGGCTGGGAGAAATCAAAGACCCCCCAAATGGAGGGACAGACCATACAGATTCCTGGACTGAACACTTAATGCTGTTGACACATTTTTGACTGGAGACATTACAGGCACAGGCATTAGTTTCTGCAAAAATCCCCCGGTCAATAATGTGTTAAAATGTCAGCTCTTCCCCAGACGACCCACAGATTCAACGCAAAGCCAATGCACACCCAGCAAGGTGTGTTTTGCAGAAATCAACCAGCTCATTCAAAGCCCACATGCAAACGCACGACTGTCAAGCCTTCCGTGCAGTCACAGCAGTGAGGCTGTGCGTCAGGGCAAAGAGGAAGGGCCCAGTTGAAGGTCAGATGCCCCACGTGCCACCCACCAACGCAGCCAGAGACAAAGCTGGCGGCAGCTCAGAGGGAACGATCGTCTCTAGTGAGAGCCCAGCTGGTCGGCGGGGCAACTCTACAAAACCATGAGGGAGGGCTGCCGGCCCCAAGCGTGGACGGTGAAACTCCAGAAGGAAATGTAGGAGATCGTCCCGATGGTGGAGAAGCAAAGGTTCCCTAAACGTGACTCAAACACCAAAACTCTGAAAGAGAAGGTGGGTGAACTGATCCACTTCCCCACCAGAACTCCGGGGCAGACGTCGCCGAGAGCACAAAAACAAGCCGCAGACCAGGAAAACGTTCGCAGGGCAGTATCCTGACAAAGGAGTCACACACAGACTTTAAACTAAGGCAAAGGTACAGGAAAAAAGGCAAAGGGCCCAAGAGAGTGACAGGCCCTGCAGGGAAAAGGGTGTGAACACGGCCAGGACTCCGGAGGGAGAGGCAGAGGAAAGGCGCAAACCGGGTCCCCACAGAAGCCCACACGGGCGATGGCGCTCACAGCACCCGGGTCAGGGGCGTCGTCCGCGGGTTGGGGAGCTGCCGGCAGATGGTCTGGCAGGACGCGCCCCCCGACCCGAGCACCGGCCACGCACGCCCGTGGCCAGGGGCCGCCCTGGGGGAGACCACCGGAGTCCGCTCCTGCCCACCGCGCCAGGCCCAGAACGTGCTAGCGCCTTATCCTCAGCTCCCCAGGAGGGAGCAGCCCAGCTGCGCGGGAGCCGTGCGTCTGGACGCTCTGTGGCTTCTCGCACACACTGGGGCGGGGACCATGGGGCGAGGCTCGGGCACAGTGCGGGCTGAAAGGCCTCTGCTCCACGCAGGTGGGCGCGTGTCCTGGGCGACGGGCCGCAGAGGCCTCCAGCCAGGGATGCTGGTGCCAGGGCCCCGAGGGGGCTGTGTGAGTCAGGGCGTGGAGGACACTGGCCGCTCTCCGGGGTGGGAGGGCGCAGCCGGCAGGGACAGGGGAGCCAGGGGCCTCGGGCATCTTGTCCGGGGTGCTCGCGCGGGCACATGACAGCCTGCTCGGCGGACTCGGGCGACGGCACCGTCCTGTCCCACGGCCGTGCGTCTGTCCACCACACGGCAGGAGCTGTGCCCTTGCTCGTGGGGTGACGCCTGCATTCACGTCCCCAGAACGAGCGGTGCCTGCACTTCCAAGCCCACCCACCCCCCAGGCAGCTGGAGAGTCCATCCTAACGCCTTCACTGAGACCTCCGTCCGCTACCTCTCAGGACTGTCTGCAAACATTCTAAGGGAATGGGAAACACCGACTCTGAAATTCAGAGGCACGAAGAAACGTGTCTAAACGCGTTTAAAAATATGGTAAAATGCCACCCTGAAGGGAAAAACACATGACATGGTAAGGTTTTACAGGTTTGTAACGTCTATCTAGTGTACGTGATGGGAGACCCGGGTACACGCCGAGGCCCGCGTCACCCCGTCAGGAGCAGCCCTGCGGTGACCCCGATCCCCGCCCTCACGCCCCTTACGGCAACCCCCAACGCCCGCGCACACACAGAACTCCCCGTCCGTCCACACAGCCTGTCCCGAGCACGGCAGCATCTGGCTGGGGCCTGGGGTCTGGCTGTGCTCACGGGGCACAGGGCATCTGACGTCCCCCGTGCAGGACTCTGCGAGTGGACCGTGTGCAGGTGCGCGCTGGCCTTTGCCCGGTTCCCTCCATGGGGCGCCTGACCGCATGGGGTCCCCTAAGGGAGGGAGCCCCAGAGCAGCTGTGCTCCCACCACGAACACCTGGTGCCAGGAGCGTCTTCTGCTCTGATATTTGGTCTCTGCCCCCGGCTCCTGACACAGAGCCCCCAAGTCCCTTGGAATCTCCTGGGGGGACAGGAGCCTGTTTGGTCGTGGATGGGGCTGTCCTTAAAGCGCCCACACCATGGTTACTGAGCTAGAACTTTCAGCCCCCCAGCATTCTCTGCAGAGGGCAAGGGCAGAGGTGGAGGGCAGCCTCGATCATGCCCACAGGATGAAACCTCTGAAACATCCCCTAAGGGAGCGGGTTCAGGGGCCTTCCAAGTTAGGAAACAAATCCGCTGTACCAGGACAGAGATGCACCCCAACTCCACGGGGACAAACTGCTGCACTGGGGAGCCCCCGACGCCTCACCCTGATGCCTCTTCACTAGGCTTCTCACCCGTACCCCTCATCACACCCTTTATAAGGAACCCTTTATAATGGACTGGTGTTTCCCTGAGTCCTGTGGGCTGCTGAGAAAACTGTGGAACTCGAGAGGGGGTCGTCGGAACCCCTGGAATCCAGAGCCGGTCAGACACAGGTGACAGCCTGAGACACACAGGTGACAGACTCAGACTCGGGCCTGGCGTGTGAAATGAGGGTGGCCCTGTGGGTTCAGCACCCCCCACCCCGTGCTAACTCCAGGCAGAAGGGCTCAGAACTGGACAAACTACAGGACGCCCAGATCAAAGCCCACACGTGTGCCGAAAGAGGCCTCCGTGCGCAGGGAAAGGAAGCAGAGACTGCTCTTTTCACGGATCAGCCGTTTGCCCCTTTCTGTGTTCAGAGAAGTGGGTCCACTGATCTCGGGCGGGCAGGCTCCTGAGAAGCATGTCTCCGGCAAGAACAAGGGCCGTGTCGCGATGACGAGA